GTCTTTGTTTATGATTTGCATTCGCTTTCAATTTCGTTTGTTATTGTTCTTGCCCTATCTTCTCAAACACTTTCAATGGAGCATGTACAGAAGAAAAAAAAACAACCCGTAAACAATTTGAAAATTGAGTAGAGTTTGTGGACAAAAATAAAGTTTATTTTCAAGACCATTTACTAATTGTTCTAATAAAGCTAACCTTATGAGACCACCAAAAGACATATTTTCGTTTTAAATTAAAAACTAATTATAGCTAAAACACAAAATTACGCTCTGATTAAACACAATTGTTTATTTTATTCCTCCGAGCTTAACTTCGAGGGACGCACGTTAAGTTCGATAGCGGCATGTGATTTGATGCTGTTATTCTGAAGCGCTATTTCTTAATATAACGTTCGTCCATAGCGTGCGCCTGTTATATTATAAAGGTTTTAYTGATACAACACACCAGTTGGAGCCACATAACGTGTTTGACGGATAACACGCACGTTAAAATTAACGTGAGTGATACAGCACAGGGCTGATTGTCCTGTCCTCGACGGTTAGCCAGGCATTAGCGTTGTTATCTTCTTGGAACATTGTATGATCGAGAGACAAAAGGGGGTTTCTACGCAAACATAGGAAATTATCTTCAGTTTTCAATATCCCCGAATTCAGTGTTTTAAACTCCTTCAAAACACTGAAATTTATCCAAATTCACAAACAACCACCGCCTCAAAGTTGAAAACGATTAGACGTGGCAACCAGTGATGAGCAAAGCAAGGCCAAGACCAAGACTGGCCTGGTCTTGGTTTTGGTCTTGCAAATCAACGGCAGTCTTGGCCTTGGTCTTGGTCTTTCTGCAAGACTCTTGCAAGTCTTGCTTTTATATAGCCGTAAAATCAGACGAAATAAATTTAATAATAACAATAATTATAATTAAATTGAAAGATTATACCAGTGAGCCGGACTGGAACCGATATGGACCCAAAACCAGAACGGAACCGTTTTTCTTTTGACCGGAACCGTAACGGAACCCATATTTGATATTAACACACTGTTTTCGGTTCTGCTTGTAACGTTTGAAAGAAATTTCTGTACATTTTACAAGCAAATGAAAATAATCATTTATCTTTCTGCAAATTAATATAAAATTACGTTTCTGTGTTCTGGTGAGCGGCGGTGTACTATTAATGTGCCGACAAAGGGTCGGCATTTCTTTTAGTTAGTTCCTGGAATCGTTTTAATAGTCGGCGCCGCGACGCCGTCAAAGAGAGGATAACTTGAGTACCTAATATCCTACCGATTAATTGCCTCCTCACAGTACAGTGAGCCTGCGCAATTTGGAAATAAACAGTTGGCATCTTCAACATTTACAAAACAAAAATAACTCTACATGGTTACAATCTATGCGCTTATTGATACCTACAATTATGGGTCGAAAAATAACAAATGTTGCTCACGGGCAGTTTGACTGCATAAAATAGAAGATAAATCTGTTTGCAAATTGTGTAAGATGTCAATAAAGGTAGGTAATTGGAAAATGGAGGATAGAGAAGTTATGCTATTAGATAGTGAAGTAATCCTTGCTGGGATATTTTTGGACCCTCGGTATAAGGTAGTTTTAGACGACAATCAAGTAGAAAAAGCAAAAGCACATTTAAAGTCATTATGGACTAGACTGATATTCTTATAAGAGTGCAATTCTTTTAATTCTAAATATGACTCTGACCAACACGATATGAAAACTGAATCATTTAATTCATCAAGCGATGAAATGGAAGTCTTTTTGAGACATAAAGTTTCAGAGCAAAACTTTTTAAAAGGAATTAATCAGCACGAATTTTCTTCACAAGGTTCATTTGTAGCCCTTAACAAAATTGAAGTGTGGAACAAAGTGGAACAAAGCCGCATACGCTTACGGAAAATTGAAACGATTTTTGATTTCTGGGAGAAAAAGAAAGAGCTTAATCCCGAGTTATACATGCTTGCTAAAGTATTATTAAGCGTACCGGCAACTCAAGTTAGTGTTAAGAGGTTATTCTCAAGACTCAAATTTTTGTTGCCGCCTTCGAGGTAATATATTAAAGAAAACATTTTAGAGGAACAATTATTTGTAAGGACGAACCGACTTTTCAATCGAAAAGAACAAACACCGTACATTTATACACTACTTTATAATTCTTTTTTAAGTTGAATTATTTTAGTTTTTCGATGATCAACAAAGAAACATTTGAAATTAAAATGTTGGGCAAAAGCAACTCTTCAAAAGATGGTGAATGTACTAGGAAGAACAATGTTTAAACGGAAATAAGAGTGAAAGAAGAGGAATTGACGACGTTGTGGACCTGAGTGAAAACGGAAAGAAGAGAAAAGCGCTAAAGTCAGAAAATTCATTGACAAAACGATAAAAGAACGATAAAAAGAACAAAACACTTTCGATCACTAACATACAAAGACAAAGGAATTAGTACAAATACCGGGACAAAAATATACAAAGCGATCTGCAGACCCCTCTTGGACTACGGACATATACTCATCGCCAACGGAACAGAAAGGACAAAACGATACGTACAAACAACAGAACAAATTGCACTAAGACTAATAACACGAATAAGACACCCCCAAAACCCACTGCACAACCCTTCCAACCAACTACTATACGAACGCACAAACATGACAAAAATTTCGGAAAGACTAATACACTTGCAGACAAAATGAACAAACAACCCCCACAACTGGACCATACTGGATCCCCTTTGCCTCACAAGACCGACAAAACACTCCCGTTTTCGTTCCCCAACAGATACTTTACTAGAACACCTACAAACGCAACTGAACTAAGGACTGAGATATGTTTGTTTTGTGAGTCGGGAATTTTTATTTTTTATTTTTTTTATAGCTGTCTAATTTATACGAGTGTTAGGAATAGAAATTAATTTTAGAATAA